AAAATATAAATGCACAAATGGCATTGTGTTATCATTCAAAATGGGGCAGAGCATGTGGATAAATGGATTACACTCGCTTACCTTGTAATGATTCATTGACATTATTTTTCATAATATGATCTCGTCAAAGTCCCCTGCATTTGATATGATCGAATCGGCGGACGCTCTGAATGATACCGGCACATGGAGTGGACAGGTGATGGCAGCATCAGATGCCGTCAATTGGAAGCGTTCAGAATAGACAGATATCATACTGAGGTTTTAGACATATAAATGGTTAATCATATTTGCACTATAAAACTTAAGTACTGGCCACCTTCATTTCGATCGGAAATAAGTCATTAGCATCCATCTAACCCTACTTGGTCCGCCTCACAGCCGACACCATATGGTCTGTAACCGGATCACCATTCTTCCGTCGGATTACGCTGTCCACAGAGGCAAGTGGACTCAAATGAGAAAGCAGCATAAGATGATATTGCACAGTCATCATAAATAAGTGTGGACGTAAGCTACTTTCCCTCACACTGTTCCCCTAGACTCATTGCCACAATTAACTCGTCGTTATCAGCACACAAGCTGGTGACTAAGTCTGGACCGGACGGCTTTAACATTGTACGTTCCATATGCAAGTTTTGGAATTTTCATTATTCCATCCCTTGCTTTTCAGTTGATTTTGAATAAACTCCAACAAACATATAACTGACAAAATTGCATCGGTAGAACTTAAGTGAATCTGCAGCACAGTTATATCGTAATAGAAATGAGAGTTAACGCAACAGGGTTGCCAATTAAGTTTTTCACCAAACCCCCGTAACCCTAATGCTTCAAACAAAATTTATTAATAGTGATTTGTTGCGTTCCGTGTGGTAGAATTAGATTTTCAGTGGCCAGGGCAGGTGCTTTTACAACACTGTGGGAAATCAAGCAATTTCAAAAGAAATGTTTATGTTCCGACTATACTTTATGAGAGATAAAGATTCACAATCCGCCACATACTTCTTACTACTGAACCAATATTAGGCAATGTTTTTGGAATTTTTGTATTACAGAAGAATTAGATAGAAATACGGCGAGGAAAGCCTGACATTCTTGTGACAGTTACCATATTAAACCAGGCACGATTTCTGTCTGCCAACACAATTTTAAACCACTAGACTTATTGTATGTTGTGATTTCACATGAAATCTATTGTCTCTTGTCACTACACTGAAAAATGTTAAACTACACCTGTTCCTTGTAATAAAAGTTTGTTGGAAAGTTTGTTGTCATGAGATGACATTGCTAACACTTAACTAGTGGGCTCGGGCTCGGTTCAAGTGTTATGACCAGCCGTTCGGAATCCTCTCCTTTCTTCCCTGGGAGTGTGAAGGCAGAAAAGCGTTGAAGGTGAGGAGAGGGTGGTTAGAGAAAAACAGCTATCAAACTGTGATGATGCACCGACTGCGTCAGATGAGGCGTCTGGGGAGTGAGAAGAAGGTATGGTGAGTGGAGCGAAGTTAACATATTAAATACGATTTGTTTCTATGGGCGAGTAGTATTTTTTTGTGCTATTCAAAAGTGAGAATTTGCTGTCTGGTTAGAAAACTTTTGAGTAGTTCCTATTGGGATTTGTTTGATTTTTGCATTGCTTTTGTCACAACAGAAAAGTCATGTTCAAGTAAACCATTTTGTGAAACAAAATCTTAGCACAACAGGCGGTTCTTAAAAACATTTCGATCATGTATAGTACTCAGAGACTGATTGGCTGTGAGGGGGCTTGCTACTCCTTTTATTCACTGCAAACGATGTGACAGGATGTAAAAATACATTAATGTGGAAACTAGGCTCGGCAGTACATGAACATGTATTTTGTGCTATGTTTTTTAGTTGTTTCAAAGTTAGGATACTCCAGTCTTTAAATTGCAAGTATATATTTTTAGTTGTTTCAGATCAGGATACTCCAGTTTTCAAAATTACCGGTAATATTTTTAGTTGTTAAGATTAGCAGATTTTAAATGGCAAGTATATATTTTTAGTTGTTTCAAAGTTTGTACTCATCATAAAATTACTGGTATATATTTTTTGTTAGTTTCAAGACTTAGGTACTCTCAGCTTTAAATTAGTGGTATCTGTTTTTTGTTGTTTCAAAAGCTTAGGTACTCCAGCTTTAAAGTACCGGGTACAATCAAACATTTGTTATGATGTCCATATTGTTCTCACTATAGTATATATGAGCGTTCTCTGCAACGCCTCCCAAATCTTTAAAGGTTATGAAAACAATTGCTTTATTATTGAAGGTGAACGCTCTCTTCTGTACAGTCTTTCTTGTTTGTTTTTGTTGTTTGTTTTTACATGGGAAGGACATTTTTGTGTGCTCCCAGACCAATAACACCAGCTCGCAGAAGAAGAGGTAAACAGAGAAGAGCTATATGGCAGTGTCTATAGATTGTTCAAAAGCCAAAGTAAACCTGCATTACCGATTTTCATAGTCATTGAAACGCTCCGTGGGTTCTCCATAGATACTTTTTTAATAACATGCACAGACAGCACATTTAAAAGCATTACATTAATAAAAACTGAAGCAAAAGCATTCATCAGACGCAAGAAACACAAATCTAAAACTGTTTGGGTCTGCGATTGACTTTAGATCGCGTGTGTGAAGGTTGCATGCGTCGTCTCCTTGGCCTCATAATACGGATCTGGTGGATAAAGATGGCCTCCTGTGATGTTGTTTTATGCCCCCCAAGAGCTGCGAACGCAACAGAAAAATGCACTGAAAGTAGAGCCGGGATGATTTGTTTCACGCGGTTAGAATCGCCGTCTGTGGGCAACAAGGTCAAGCCACGCTAATACATTCGTCTTCAGGGACAAATGTTAGCAGGTTGTAATTCTGCAGTGTTTAACTTAAGAACGTAATGGATTTACGTTGTGAGGAATCTATTTGCGTGGATTGAAAAATGGCTGTGATAAATGGATTTTCTACATTGTCGTTTAATACAAGATCAATTTATTTGTAATTTATCAATCAGCTGTTGCATGTATTGCTCTTTGATGGCTAAGTCTTATGTGAGGATAACAGATGTTGTGCTTATCATTGCAAACACAAACAACCGTGAAAATCTTTAACAGACCTGAATGAATTCACAATTATGGCCTCAAATGGACCAACACTGTGAGAACAATCCGAGATCAAATAGTCTATTGTAATTATTTTGTCCGTGTAATCTATATTTTTTGTAATGTCTATTAAATGTTGATGTCTTTTTATGTTATTGGGAACTGGTTTGTAAATGATCTTGTTTTTAGTTATATGGCCTATGAACATGGCATTGGTTTCCTGTAACAATGCTTTTGTTCTGTCCCGATTCAAATACAATATAATAGTAAAAAGACATGTTGAAATGTGAGGTTCACAGTTCTTTTCTGAGCTGGTATTTTCTGCATGGGGGGGAGGGTGGTGGGGGGTGGTGGGTGGGGGGTGACATATACGTATGTAATCCTCAGATTTTACGCTGGGTGGTAACTGCACATGGCAAAAGCTCCTGAAAGTGCCCCTCAGGAGAAACCACATTCGGACAGTCGGTCTCCTCGGTCCAGTGGGCAAGCTCTGGACTCTTTAAGCCTCAGCAAAAACTGACTCTGGACTGGGCTGGTTTTAAACATGAAACTAAAAGCAATTTTATAAAACAAAACCAGGTGAGTGAGCATCAAAGAGTTGGAGAACATCTATCTGCTTGTTTAATGTAAATTTTAAAATGGTAGACTGTGTTTTAATTGTGTTAAAAGCCTTCCTAGGGAGACGGGACATGCAATACTAGCCTTGGCTATAAAAGTTTGTAGTGATTCACATGTTGATTGTGTACACTTGTCCCTATCAAATAAATCAATTTAAATAAATAAATTAAAATAAATGTCTACGTATTTCATTGGGACACAAAAGAAGATGGATTTTCTTCTCAGTGCGTGTAGAAGCACGTTTGCCATGACGCATTCAGTGGCCAAGCCCATTGTGATAAGGGAGCGACAGAGAGATGTCAAAAAGATGAGGGAAAATGCCTCACCCTGAGCAAATTCCTCACTAAAAATACAGTATGCCACATGAAGGAAGACCAGACCTTCAGATTCAACGTTCATTAACCATTCGCACAATAAGAAATTGTATAAAACAAATCCAAATACCTAAATGTAACAATACCAAGTGCGCACGGTGGGCACTGAGAAGATAGGCACTTTTCTCGGCCTGCTCAGCAAAACCCAAGAAGGTCATGGGTCGGAATCCCGGTCCGGACAGGCCCTTTCGGAGTGGAGTTTGCATGTTCTCCCCCATGTCTGCGTAGTTTCCCCGGGTCTCCGGTTTCCCCTCCACGAAAAAGGTAGGTACAATAGGTCTGGCATGCGCCGCCTGTTACTGGCGACCCGCTTGTCCCATCTCTGTGGAGGATGAGTGGAACAATGCCCAAAAAAATAATAACAATTGTAAACGCTTTGTGACTGTGGTCTGTGAAAGGCGGAATATAAAATAACGATAACTTATTACTTAAGTAAAAAAAGCAGAGATGAGCTTTAATCAGGAATCCATGATCCTTGTCTTGCTACACAAATGTCTTTGTGAAGACCCCTCATATAAGGCCATGTTTTCAACTAAACTGTTTAATATTAATGGGCCTGGGCAGCTCCTTTCCCCACCCCATTTTCCACACTTCACCCCCGATTAACCTCACTCCCTTTTTCATCCTCCATCATCCACTCTATTACTACATTAACCTTCAACAAAACCTCACATCCCCGTCACTTAAAACACCTCCCAAAAACATAAAAAACATTTTCCCTCCCTCACCCCCCCCACATACTTCAATCACACATACAACAAACAAAAACCTACATACCAATCACACCAAAAAACCGCATACCCCCCCCCATCCCACCATAGACCCCATCACCCACACCTACCCACCACACTCAACACCCTACTCTCACTACCACCTTCACACTCCTTCCAATCTCCCCCTACATCTCCCTCACTCCAACACAAAAAACACACTCTCTCGCACTCTAATAATGTGTGTCATACCTCTACATATACCCCCCTTCCCAAAACCCAACCCCCCCCCACCCCACAACAAACTTCCTCTCTCCCACCAACCAAAACACCCCCCCCCCCCCCCCCCACCCCACTCCCACACCCCCCCCCCCCCCCCCCCCCCCCCCCCCCCCCCCCCCCCCCCCCACATAACCCCACCACCCCAACCCCCCCAATCAACAAATACTCTCTCTACTCTCTCACATGAGTGGAGTATATGTCCTCACCAACACCCTCACCCTCACTCTCCCACACAGTATAAATACATCAAACAATCACACACTACACACATCCCCAAAATATAACATACTCCACAACACCCAACCCACCACACCACATCATAGTACTTCCCTCTCCCTTACCCCCACCCCACCCTCCCAACCCCCCCTACTTCCCAAAACTACATCACCAATACACCACGTAAAAAACCACCACCAAACTTCCCAACATCCAATCACCCCCTCCATCCGCGCGCACACTCTCTCACACTCTCTCTCTCTACAACTAATCCCCCCATCCAACACCCTATTTTACACCCCTTCCAAATATACACTCTGTCACCTTCAAATTACCCCCCCTCCACCAATATTAAAACCAACCTACCCTACCCTACCACAACAACCAAATCACTCCATGTGCTCCCTCTACCACCCCCCCTCTTCAAACCCAATAACAACCTATAATCAGCGCAATTTACCACACACCAGATGTTTCTAGTTACTCTACCCCTTCTTCCTCCCATCCCTCCACAATCTCACAACAAAAAATAGTGGTGTGTGTGTGTCTACTTCAACCCACTTCATTTTTTACAATACCACCCCACACCCACCTGTGTGTGTACTTCAAACCAACCCCAACATATATATATACTCACAACCCACCAAACCCACCCCACAATATACATCATATACAACATACCCCCAACCCAAACCCAACCCCCCCCCCCCCCCACACCCAACCCCACCCACCACCCCCCACCACCCCCCCACCACCACCCCCCCCCACCCCAACATCATTTCACATCCAAACTTTTCTTCCAAATACCTAACAACCCCCCCCCCCCCCCCCCCCCCCACCCCCCATACCAACCCCCTAGAGATAGATATATACCCCCACTACCCCCTCAAACCACTTACACACAACCCACTCCCCACCAAACCACCACCACAACCCACCCCACCCCACCCCACCCACACCATCCCCCCCCCACCCACTCACATCACTGATATATAGATTTGTAGTACCACCCCCCACACCACCCCCCCCCAACCCCCAACATCCCACCCCCAACCCCCCCTTATACACCTACTCCCAACATGTGTGTGTGTGTGTCAACAATCCAACAAATACTTATCCCTATCTCTCACACACACCCCGTCCATTGTGCCCACACCCACCCACCCCTCCCAACCCCTCCCCCCCCCTCCCCCCCCCCTCTCCCCCCACCCCCACCCCCCACCCTCAGATATATGAACTACCCACCCCCCCCCTTCCATCTAAAACCCCCCCAACCCCCCCCAATCAACCAACACCCCAAACCCAACACCCACTCCTCACCTCATAACACCCCCCCAAAATCATCCCACCCATTTGTGTGTCAACCCCACCCCAATCAAAATAACATAACCCTCCTACCTATAACTAAAACTATCTTTAACCTCTAACTCTAAATCCCATTCCTCTTCTCCCTTCCTGTATAGATATATATTATTAAACCATCTTTTCCAAAACCTTCTCACTCTCTCTCCATCTTATCTAGTACCCCCTCAAACCCCACCTCGTTCTAACCCCATACACATACCCATCTCCACCCTAATCCCCCCCCTACATTCTTCACTCTCACACACTCACACCCATACAATAACCACCTCACTCTTCTCTACACACAATCAACTTCTCTCCCCTCCCCCCCTTCCAATAACCTTAACCCCCCCAACATAACCCTTCCCACCACCCCTGTTGTGTGTTGTACCCCCCCACCCCCTACCCCACCCATATCTATATCATACAATACACCCCCCATCACATCCACAACACTCTCCCCCCCCCCCCCCCCCACCACCCCCACTCCACACATCCTACCACATCCAATAACCATATATAGATATAAGAGATACAAAATCTCACCAAAAACCATATCTATATAGAGATATAGATACCCCTACAACTAACACAACAACATCCCCCCACCCCCCCCACCACCCCCAAAACAACCCCCACCCCACCCCACAGAACCCCCACCCCCCCACCCAACACCCACCCCCCCATACTATATACCTCCCCCCCCCCCCACCCCCCCACACCCCACCATATATCACATACATACATCTCACCCCCCCCCCCCCCCCAACCACCCCCACCCCCCCCCCCCCCCCCCCCCCCCCACCCCCCCCCCCACCCACCCCCCCCCCCCACCCCCCACCCCCCACCCACCAACCATATCCCAACCAAACCCCCCCCCCCCCCCCCCCCCACCCCCCCCCACCCACACCCCCCACCCCACCCCCCTCCCACACCCTATCCACACACACTCACACTCACCCACCCCCCCCCCACCCACACCCACAATCACCCCAACCCCCCAAACATCAAAAGACCATCACCATACAAACACACACAAAACAATGCATCTTAAATGGCATCAAATCTCTATTGTCTGAGGGATATAAGAGGAGCAGTGTGCGTCAATTCAGATTCATGTTCTGCCACTTGCAGTAAAACCACGTTGGAAAACATGTGCAAAGACTACCCATCGTGCTCCAGACGGCACACACCAGAACTCTTGCCACGGCGCCATCTTTACGGCATTAATCTCATTACTCGCAGGTCACTATTGTTAAATGACTGTATTTAAATCCGTCTATCTGCGGGAGGAAAGAGGGGCCATGCATTTAAATAGCTAGGTCACTAGTATTAAATTGGTAACTGAACTGCAGTTGTTGCATTTTGAAAGTGCAGCAGGAAGAAAAAGGGCCAATGTGATCTGCAATGGGTGTGAATTGGTGTTGGAGCTAATGAACGCGTGGAAAAGTGATCGTTCATGCGTCTCTGCCATAACCAAAGCAGAAGATGGCTCCGGGGGACATCTGTTATTCGCATGGGAATGTTTCGGATTCGGGTTGATTATTTCCTCAGGCTGTTCAACAACCATGGCATGGTTCTCTGACCGCCGCTGCTGCCGGTCCCTGCTGCCGTTCCTACTGATGCCTGATCCCGCTGATGCCTGTTCCCACTGCCGCTCCTGCTGCTGCCTGTTCCTGCTGCCGCTCCTGCTGCTGTCTGTCCCTGCTGCCTGCTCCTGCTGCTCCTACTACTGCATGTGCCGCTGCTGCTGTTCCTGCCACTGCCGCTCCGCTGGCTCCTAGGCTGCACCTGTCTCTACGACTCGGCTCTTCAGACACGTATGTAACCTGGCTCACGGAGACAAGCGGGGCACGCATGAATCGCATTGTGGTGCTGCTGCTCCTGCTAATGCTGCTTCTGCTGCTTCATACTGCTACTGCTGCCGTGCTGCTGCACCTTCATGTACTTTGACATCTCTCTTCACTTCACATCTCTTTTACTGAAACACTAAACAGCTACGACAATTTCTACTGCTGCGGCTTTGATACAGGATTATTGCTGTTATTATCTACAGATGCTGCTACTGCTGCTGCTGCTTTATACTGCTACTGCTGCTGCTGCTTCATTTACTTTGACATCTCTCTTCACTTAAATCTCTTTACTGAAACACTGAACAGCTACAACAACATTCTACTGCTGTGGCTTGATACAGGGTTATTACTGTTATTTTCTAAGGATGCTGCTGCTGCTGCTGCTGCCGCGGCTTGATACAGGACTATTGCTGTTATTATCTGAGGTTACTGCTGCTGCCGAGAAAAAAAAAAAAAACAAATAACAAAAAAGCTGCAACCCACTCTCTCAGAAGCTTACCCTGCTCTAATGGATGCAGCCCGGCTGAGTATGCCGCGCTGCGCCGGACTTGCACCTATGCTCTCAGGGTCGCTTCGGCGGTCATGCTTCATCTCTACTTAATCTACTTAATCTTCTGATTCTATCAGATGCAGCTGGCCGAGTAGCTGCGCTGAACTGTCAATCAAACTCCTAATCAAAGGCATCCATACCTGTATTCTTCACTCTTCTGATCGCAGGCTCCCCATCATGCTGCCCATCCTGCAGCGGCGCTGAACTCCGGCTCATCTCCCAAGTACATGTCCGCCCTCCTCGCAGCATCTTCCTGCTCTCCTTCTATGGCTTCTCTGCGTAAGCGTTTCACCATTGCTCACTCAACCTTCATGCGGTCCGAGACACGGCTTTCCCGACCATCCTACTATCCTGATTTCTACTCTCCAACCCAAGGTTTCAAGCGTAAGGGCGCCTGCAACATCAATGGCCCTCTCCGACATGTCTCTGCCCCTACAGGTCTCCGCTTCTACACGGACGCTGCCCCTTCCGTGGGTTTTTGGGGGATTCTTCCAGGACCATTGGTTTGCCGAGCGTGGCCGCTACTTTCCACCGGAGCATCTCCTCTGCCCTACACGTGATATTCCCAGTGGTCGTGGCCTGCGCGCTGTGGAATCACGCGTGGCAGAGAAAGAGGATCTCTGTCACGTGTGATAATCTCGACGTAGTGGAAGCATTACACAAAGGTCGCTCTTTTTAACCCAACATAATGTCCCCTAACCATTTCAACCTCCGTCTCAAACATTCAAAAATCAAAGGAGCCTGCAATATAGTAATAGCTCGCTCGGACACATCTCTCTGCCCCTACAAATCCATGATGCGTTACACTCGCCTCCGCTGCAAAAAGGAAATCTTAACGGACCTCTATTTCTCACTCCAGACACTCTTCCCATGACAGCAACCTGGTTCAGAGCTCGACTAAGATCCCTACTGCTCCTTCTGAAGTCTGCAATTTGTCTCCCCAGCTCTATACAGCCCACTCCTTCAGGATAGGCGCTGCCACGTGCGCGACCTCGCTGGGGCTCCCCCACTCTTCTCTGCAACAGCTGGGGCGCTGGTCCTCTTCGGCTTTCTCCACCTACATCAGGCCAGATGCGACCGCTATCATGGCAGCACAACGTCTACCGGCTTCCTCGTAAGCTCCCAGCAAAGCAAGTAAGCAATAAGATTCTGGTGGCGGCACGCACTTTCCTCAAACGCTCAAAGACTCCCCTGCTGCGTGCGCGCATGTTCTCAGCTCGCTCAAAGATTCCTCTGCTTCAGCGTCTGGCTGAATATGAGCATGCGCTCATATTCTCAGCTCGCTTAAAGATTGCCCTGCTGCAGCGTCTGGCTGAACATGCGCATGTTCTCAGCTCGCTCAAAGATTCCTCTGCTGCAGCGTCTGGCTGAACATGCGCGTGCGCGCATGTTCTCAGCTCGCTCAAAGATTCCTCTGCTGCAGCGTCTGGCTGAACATGCGCGTGCGCGCATGTTCTCAGCTCGCTCAAAGATTCCTCTGCTTCAGCGTCTGGCGAATATGAGCATGCATCTCATATTCACAGCTCGCTTAAAGATTCCTCTGCTTCAGCGTCTGGCTGAATATGAGCATGTGCTCATATTCTCAGCTCGCTTAAAGATTGCCCTGCTGCAGCGTCTGGCTGAACATGCGCATGTTCTCAGCTCGCTCAAAGATTCCTCTGCTGCAGCGTCTGGCTGAATATGAGCGTGCGCTCATATTCTCAGCTCGCTCAAAGATTCCTCTGCTGCAGCGTCTGGCTGAACATGCGCATGTTCTCAGCTCGCTCAAAGATTCCTCTGCTGCAGCGTCTGGCTGAATATGAGCGTGCGCTCATATTCTCAGCTCGCTCAAAGATTCCTCTGCTGCAGCGTCTGGCTGAACGTGCGCGCATGTTCTCAGTTCGCTCAAAGATTCCCCTGCTTCAGCGTCTAGCTGAATATGAGCACGCTCATATTCTCAGCTCGCTCTGCCTAAACAAACACGGGCCCCAGCGGACGCAGCCGGCTGAGCGACTGTGCGAGAAGCCTCTCACTCTTGCTCTCAGGCCCGCGCAGTACGTCCTGCTATCCCAATCGCAGGCCCGCTTTTTGGGGATTATGCACGCGAGCAAGCGCCGTGCTCAACAGCATCCCTCCCGGGCCTAGGGCGCCAAACATGCTCAATCAATAAACATGCTTAAATCTATTTTCCTCATGGGTCTCTCCAATGTGAAATGGAGCTTTCGCGAAAGTTCACTGTGGTAGACCCGGCTGCTGCTTGCCCAGATCTACAGGCTGCTCTTCCTCGGCTCATCAGACCAGCAACGCCCACATCCAGCCAACCAATAACCACCAGGACAGCAAGTTAAAAGCCGGAGACTCCCACTTCCCAGCCTTCTGAAGTCTGCAAGCCTCCGCCGCCCCACCTCCTCCTTTTCTCACCAAAGCGTGCTTGCCTACTGCCTCTGCCGCCACCAGTGCCCAGGCCCCGGGGGGGATTATGCACGCGAGCAAGCGCCGTGCTCAACAGCATCCCTCCCGGGCCTAGGGCGCCAAACATGCTCAATCAATAAACATGCTTAAATCTATTTTCCTCATGGGTCTCTCCAATGTGAATTGGTTCCTAAGACAACATGAGGGTTAAAAGATACTTGTTTCCAGTGATGTGCGGTCCGGTGAGGCAGGTAAGGATCATGGAAAAATACCAAGAAATCTGTGCTATTTTATCATTTCAATAAAACTTTGCCTTGGACGCTTTCCATCAGAAAGCGCCCTTTCATGTTCTTCCTCTGCTAAGGGCAGCCACAGGTTTGGCTAACATTTTAAGATGATATAAAAGCCACTTAGGGTAATTTTATGTTTCCAATGATGATAAGAATGATAAGGAAGAGAGGTGAAAGATGAGTTTAGAAAGCGGATGAACGCGAGAGTCGGCTATGGACAGCTAGCAAAACAGAAGAGGAGTCTATGGAGGACAAGCCCCAGTGATCCAAGATGGCGCCGTATTCAAATTAATGGGCTTGTGCTCAGTAGTGCATGGGACTTTACGGGGGCCGAAAAATTTGCGGAACTCACCTATATTTGGGCATCGTCTGGTCCTCCCGGTTCTGCGCAGTGGACGAGCTCCCACAATGCGTTGCGGCAAATACGCGTGTGTGGCTCTCATGCACGTGCACAGACCCCACTGTCGCGCTCTAACCAATCAGCGCTGCTGATCAGAGCAGTGGTCAAGCGGAGCCAGAGCGGGATAGAAACGAGCAGAAAGTGTGGATTTAATGAATAAAAAACAACACTTAAAACTCAAGCTGTAGGTTCTTTGTCAGCTGAGGTCGAGCTGTTTTAGTTTACATTGAGTTCTATGGGACTTTTTTCTGGGTGGCCCACGTGAATTTAGTCTGTAGTACCACGGGCGCCCCCTGTGCCCATGGGTGGGACAGCTATGAGCTAGTAGTACCCTATCCAGTTATTATTATACTGTAGATCAATGATGGAGGACACAGGAGACACAAGTTTTGTTTTACTTTTTAAAACTCATTGGACTTATTTCCATGGAATGGAGGAAAACATATTTTCGCTCAAACTATTATCTTGACTTAAACATCTGCTTCCGTCATCACCGTGTGTGGAATGATTGGAACAATATCTGAACTCTGAACATTGTAAAGCACTTTGGGTGACCCTGGTCTGTAAAATGCACTATATAAATAAACATTACTTACTTACTTACTAAACATGAAACTGGTATTAACTGTGGTCTGTGCAGTTTATGTATAAGGAAAGGCCAATAACACACTTGTAAATATGCTTTTTACATACTTTTGGATTATATATGAGCAAACAATGTGGACATGAAACATATTCTGCTGAAGCCAGACACATTGGCCCTCTTTTATGAAACTTGCATACGGCCAAATCAGGGTATAATTGAGGCGTACGTAAATAATTTACACTTTTTGGCATTTATCAATCCGGACGTGGGCGTACAAAATGTTCGCCGAGTCAGGAGGTGGTGTAAATTTTACACCCATCTCAACTTTGATCACAACATGCCATAACACGCATGAATTTAAAGATTTGGACAACAATAAACATATTCCCAGTCTGAAAAAATTATGATCTGCTTTTTCATTGAGCATCAAATTTCGAAATTTGAATTTACGCATCAGAAAAACTCTAATGGAAACACGCAAATTTCGAATACATCACAGATCATGATGAGGACCGGTTTCTTTGCTTTTAAATCTGACTTGTGTGTGTATTATTTTCATCTGTATGTTTGTATTTTTTTTTTTAGGGCTCTGTGATCCTGGTCTGTGAAAGGCGCAATACCTGGCTTATTTACTTACTGAATGTGTGACCATCTATTTCTCCGTAAATTTGTGGCAGACCCTGCCCTGCGTAATTACGCATAGCTATTTGTTCTGTGGGTCTAGACACTAGGGAAAAAACGCATATATATAATAAAGCGTTTTTGTTTTTTTTCCACAAAATGATAAAATAAAACTCAATATAAACAGGCCTTTTGAGGCTTCCAACTAGTCTTGCTGGCCGACTTCCATGTTGACCTGTCGTAAAAACGGGACGTGAAACGCGCGGTTTCTGAATGTTTCTAGGCGTGACTTTCATGAATACGCTAGTTTTGAGCGCGGCAATTATCAACAGCAGCGGCTGCGTACGCTCAGATCTGTGCGGATCTCACACGTTCATAAATCCGGCATTGAGTTTTGCGTATATGGAATATACACCGAAAACCAACCAATTTGACGGTTTTTAGTTTTGGAAATGTAATTACTCAGCGTATGTACTTTAAGTCATGCACTAGGACTGAAAAAAACTGCACTGCTATTGCCACTTTTTCTTAATTGCCATATATTCAATATATCCTGAACAGACTATATTTTTGCATCTAACAGGCATGCACTTTTCTGTCTTTTGCACAATCTGAGTGATCCTCTCTATGCCCAATTGGATTGTACCTGATTTGCGTTCTTACATGGACAAAATGTGTTGAATTATATTTGACCTTGATCTTTTTTCTAGTTCACAAAGGATCTTTGAGACCTGATCAATGACATGAGGTATTTTCCATAGCACACACACAAACACAACATATTACATTACTACATTTTGCACATTGTGAAACCTGTAACTTTTACAGAGTGTGAACATGTGAAAAAAATACAAATAAACCTCATTCCCGTTCGCACCTGACAATTTGTTTCTGCGATGCAGCGACAGGATTATAAATAGTGCTATGGGAGAGCGTTGCTTTGTAGTATTTGTCTTATCAAAGTGGTGTGTGTGCAGGGGCTGTGTGCGACTGCCATCACCCAGGGAGCAACAGCAGCTGTCAAACACCGTCCTTTACATATCCATCCTCCCAATACATCTCATTGGGTTCAAATCATTTCTCCTCAGGCACTTTTGTCACTCATCCTCTGCTCGTTCTATCGGAAGCACGATGCCTTTCTACACTGTACGCTTTCAATGCAGCAGGATTTCTTCATGTATGCACCCAAGAATACATAACAAATGCACATTGTTTCTGCTGAAGTTTTACATACCTCATGGAGCGTCAGATTGAAGCCAAAGTTGCAACTTTTCTAATGCTTGTGTCAACTTTCCGCTATAAATCCTATTGTACTTTGTAATATTCCCAAGGTAATTCAATTAATTCATTGACGTTTTTTCAACATAAGGGTAAATATGTAATATTATTTACAATGCATACATTTTCTGATTTAAGGAATTATATTTGATTGAAAAATGTTATAGCATGCTGTTAATCGTGTGTGTGCAAATGTAGACAGTTAATTATGTCTTCTTTTGTATTTAAGGCTTAAAACGTTAGTTAGAAGGCAGTATCTGACCTGTAACTGCTGAAATATGTGTAAAGAGGCTAGTGATCAAGCAGTACTGGCTTCGGTCACAAGGCCGACCTAAAAGCCCAGTAAAAGTGGCCTTGGCCCAGATTGTGATCCGGGCTTCAGGTGACATGTGACCGCGACAAGTGGGCTTGAGCACATTTGCAGAAACCGTGCTTGGGCTCGCTTGGGAGAGATGGGCCTGAGCACGGTTGTAAAGCCCAGATTAGGGGGGTTGATGTGTTGGGTTGTGGGGAGTGGGGGGATGAGGTGTGGTGGGGACGTGATATTGTGCGTCACATTACATCTTCCTGCTGGACCCGCTGTGACGTGCATTTTCACACAGATCTCTTGCTGCAATTTCCTACATACATGCATTCTCCCTCGCATGTGTTACACCTTGCATGTAAGCCCCCAGACCATGTTAAAGGGGTGCAGGAGAGATTTATCGCTCCAGGGCCAAAACACACAAATATTCATTCACCTGCCTGGCGTCTGCTCGTACTCCACACCTTTCATTCTTTCATTCTCATTCATTCATTTCTCAGGCTCATAACATTTACTCTAAGACGTGCTCCCCTGTCCACAAATACACCCCCTACTACAACAGGAGTGTCCAATCTTTTGACATTGATTTATACAAAGAGGAAGGCAAAAGCCTGACAGAAATTCTGTCGTAGTTAATAAAAGTAAACATTATCTGTCATACATACTGTACATGTATGAGAAACTGAAATAATGGTGATGGAGAGTGACATATGGAAATGCTATACAAAATACTATACACAATTTGGAGAGCAATAATATTATAATAACATGTATTCTATTTTTGTAAGGTTAAAGAGAGAGGTGTCCATATAATGTCTGAACTACATTCCACAAGTTCTACAGTGACAGTAAATACTTCACAGAACAGGGCAACAGCAACAGTCCACATGGGGTGTTCCTAGAGTGTGGCAGACCTGGGGTCCTCTCTGCGGGGGTCTGCTGCTGGTGTGAAGACCTGCAACTTCCATCATGTTCTTCATGTGTTCACACCTTGTTGACTTTCGTGCCCTCAGACACCAGTCCTCTCAAATGGCTCTCAGGATAGAATTCCTCTCTGTGCAAAATGTAACAGACCAATCCCTGAGAGACTGTACAATTTAATTAGCCTGTAATATGCGTTTCTTGGAACTGCTTTTGAGAGAAACAAGACCGTCTTTTTTAAAGTGATCAAGTGGCACAAAAGGTAAGCCAAAGGTCTACAACATGAGCTCAATCAGTTGTTTATGTAATATCCCAGTGTAGTGAATAGGATTGATTTTCTAAATTGAGCACAACAAAGTCTCGTCTTCACAGTTGGATCTGTTGAAAAGGACTCATTAACTTTAACTCATGCCATGCATTCTTCAAAGGTTTGATTGACTAACTATGTTAGGCACATTAAACCTGTTCACACTTTCAGATGAGTCAAAATGCTACAAGAAAAAGTGAACCAGAGCACATAACTCCAGTTTGTCCTCCTGTCTCCTGGTAGCTTTCGAATTAATTAATTAATTTAGTTTCAAACATGCACAAGATATATACAATAAATATTGAAAGAAAAATAGACAAAAATAATTCATGCGGTAAAAATAAGAAATAAAGCATGGTTTGGATAAACTTATTTTAATCCAATGAGTACTTGAGCATGTCCTGCTTTTCACATATCTATTTTTAATTCAATAATAACAAAATCATGTATTATTTTACTTTCACCGCACAGATGTGTGTTATTTAGTGCTGTCCAAAATATTGCGTTATTAACGCGTTAACGCAAATCAATATTAACGGCGTCATTTTTTTTATCGCGCGATAAATTTTTATTTATTTGTTTTACTTTTTATTGCAGACATATACAGAAAAAAAATAGAAACAAAGAAAAGGACTAGTTCAGATACATTGTAGACAGAGATTACAAACAATATGTAGTTGGAGATACAGGGGGCCAAAGAAGAAACCCAGAAGGGCACATAGGAGAAGTGTTGTGCGTGAACGAGTTCAAAAGAACGCGTTCATTGAACACGCTCATTTTTTCGTGAACATTGAACTGAACGCAACACATTTTTAAAAAAAGAACTTGAACGTGAATTAGTTCATTTTATGTGTCATGAACGGCAGACATCACTATGAACGTTGGAATCCGTTTTCTCTTTTAAAACGCAACGAGAGAAAGTTCCTCCCTCCTGTATTCTCGCACTTTT